CCCTATTGATTTACTTTGACTTTTACTTTCGAAACTTACGTTTCTCCAAACTTGGTCAAAGTGGGGGTTTCTGTAGACACCTGATTGTGTCTCCCCAAAAACCAAACCTAGTGATGAGTACCTTTCACATCTTTAATTAATGAGTTCGGTAAAGAGTTGAAAAGTCTCATGAAGCTACCTTAAGCCTTGACCATATTCCTAACCTTTCCTAAAATGTTTTAATCCAAAATCATTCATTTCGTGTCTTTAAACCTAAAATAATTCATTTCGTGTCTTTAAAATCATTCATTTCGTGTTCTTAAAATCGTTTATTTCGTGTCTAACTCATAAAAACTTCCAAAACCAGATTATTTTGGTCCATTATCCTGGTCTAATTATTGTTTAGTTGGATGGGTTTTGAAAAGAGCTTTCCAACGATATATGATAAGCCCAAATCCGACTTAAAACGAATAAGTTATTGCCAAATACTAAACCGAGCCCAAACCGGACCCAGGTTCACCTTACCTACGACCCAATGATCATGTGAGGGTCCAAATACCATATTCCCAATCCTAAACCCATTAGGATTCCTTAGGATCTTCTAGAATTCTCTAGAAGGATCTAATTTATTCTTTCCGAAAAAGATAAAGATAAAAAAAGAGTTTAAAGCCGAATAAAACTTCTGTTTTTATAGTCCTTATCCCGATCAAACTAAAAGATGTACGGATGAATATGAATGTATTTCGTTAACCCAATTCAATTAGGAATCAAATTCTGTACGGCTTAGTCATCTTTGAAACCATCGCAGAACGACAGAACCATCGCGCCGGGATTGTCCTATCGCTCCGCGATGGACTCTGTCGCGCCGCGATACTCTTGTCCCCTCGCGATGGATCTTGTTTTATTCCGTTCCAAATTCTGATCTTTTATGATCACCCAGACTCTCTTTTTTCCCTATAAATAGAGATCGTTTTACCTCGTTTTAGATCACCAACCATCAACAATCATCAAAATCATCTCAATCATCTCCTCTTTCTTGATCCCCATGTTCTTAGCCTTAGCCTAAACACATACTTGATATTCTCCCAAATCAGTCACAATTCCTTATTCACGAGATTCGAATACTCCGAGCCATCCTTGACGTTGCCTTCAACCTCGACGTGAAAGGTTGATAATTCTAAGGGTTTGGTCCCAAATCTCTATTTCAATTCATATTTGATTTATTTATTTTATTGATTTAACTTTCTTGAAGTTTACTAACGTGTGTATTGTTTTAATAGCAAGAAGGTTGAGGCATCAAAGTGATTAATTCAATTACCCTTATTATTATTCTTTTGATTTTGGAGTAGAAATCATGTTTTTAATGTTATTTTAATTTTATTATTAGTGACATGCTAGGATTTGTTATTAATCCGTTTAGTATCATGCCTTGGATCTTACTATTAACAATGTTTTGATGATGTATTTATGATGATGATTGTTGTATTAATCATATGTTGTTTGATTATTAATTATTTGTTGTTATTGCTTGATCACGCCCCTTTCTGCAGGTTTAAAGGGAATTTGTACTTGAAATCACGCCTAGTAAGATAAATTAATAATTGAATTTAGGTTTAATATGATTTTAATTCAAGTGATCACCAATAATAGATTTGATTGTGCATTAATAATGAACCAACATAGATTAAATAGGTTAAGGATTAACTTGATGTATGTATGTTGATCGAAAAGCGCACATGAATATCATAAGAATTGAGTAGAGGCTTATTTAGGGCGGGTTCAATCTCTTTAAGGTTGGATTCTTACCATCATCCCCGAACATACAGTCATGGTTCCGGACCACTATGGAGTTAGCGATCTTCGTGATCGTGAATGGGGTGTAACCTTCACACCCGTGAACGATTTACAAGTTCCTAAAATTTGTTGGCGACTCTTTTATCTCTAGCTTCTTTTCCTTGGAACGTCGCCATGCCTAAAATCATGAACCATAATAGGGCTCAATGATGAGTTTGAAAAATTCCCTACAATACCCCACCTTATTTTCCCTCTTTTTTTTCATATAATAAAAGTGTCAGCTATTTATTAATAATAATAATAATAATAATAATAATAATGATAATAATAATAATAATAATAATAATAATAATAATAATAATAATAATAATAATAGCCATTGGAATCATGCACGTAGAAGTGCAAAACCCGACACAAATCGAAACCGACTCGAAAAATATCCAATTTAGGTTTCAAATCGCATAAACACAATAATTTAGCGTGATTTAAATTTGAAATTAGACTCGACCCGATCTCACTGAACTTAACCTAGACACCCAAATTAAAACCTCGACATGCACCCACGCGTCACATGTACATGGTTTTACAATTTGGGAGAAACTCCAATTTTAGAGCATCCCCAAATCTTTTGTATTTTGAGCAACACAAACCACAATGGTGGGAAGCCCCAAAAAGAGGAGAGAGTGTGTCTTTGGGGAGGGTGGTGGTTCAGCATTGCTGATGCTCTTAATATACAACTTGCAAAAAAAGAAAATGGTGCAATTAAAAAAAAAAGAGAAATTATCTAATTTTAAAGGAATTTTTCAGGAGCATTTGACGCTCCAAATTACCAAGGGTTTTATTTCAAACAATGAAAAAAACATTACATTTTATTTTTGAGTTTAAAATTCAATCGCTACATAAGCAAAATTACAAATGAGATTTGAGAATTTAATTTAAATTTCCACGTAGGTTAAGGACAACATATAGTAATTTAAGATTAAATTATTTTAAAATAAAAAACTATCTTTTAATACTAAGTAGTTTATCTAAATATCTGTCAAGCGAGAAAGGGAACTCATTTTAAGTTTATTAAATTCAAATGCCATATAAGTATATCAATGAATGAGGTTGCACTTTAAATTTCCTCTAATAAAAATCGTTTTCTAATGATATCTTATACATATGTCATGGATAAAACAACTAGCTTAATATAATTAGTTAAAGTCTTGAAAGGTGAAACTCAAGACGTGGGATCATATCATGTCTACATGACTAACCCTTGCGACTCTGTTTACGCCAAAAAAATAAATAAAATCTTATACATATCTCAATATAACAAGTTTGCCATCCTACTTGTTTTAATATATACGAACGATTTCCCTTGATATTGTTGGAACAAAAATAAATTCCCATTATGCATTGATTTAAAAACAATTTTCCAAAGTATTGTCCGCGTAGGATTGGTCTTTGGTTCATCTTAAAACCGCTAATGTCATCAACAGTTTTATATTAAAACTGCTAACAATATTAGCGGTTTTCTATTTTTTAAAAATAAAGGCAAAGAGACCTATTGTTATTGATATGTGGTCTATTTGAACTTGTCAAGGTAAATGTTAACACTCTCTTTCCTACTTTTGGCTAAGGAATCTTTGAATTAACCAACGGGGCAAGGAGACCGGTTATTAGTAAAATGCAGTCTTTTTTCTAAAACTGCTTATTGTAGTAGCGGTTTGTAAACTACAATCGCTATTATCGTTAGCGGTTCTAAGCTGAAACAAAAGAAAAAAATTATCGCCTAACAACAATCCTACGTAGCGTAGTTGGGAAATTTGTTTTTAAATCGAAGCATAAAGGGAATTTATTTTTGTTTTAACAATATTATGGAAAATCGCTCCAAAATAATACAGATCATGTTGATTAAAATTTAACCAAATGGAAAAGGTTTAAAACTCCGGTTAAATATGGCTGATCTCACTAGGTGCGTAGAGTCTTCCTGCCGTCTAGGACGGTTCTCTTCGTTTTTTGATCTGCTTGTGACCATGAATATGGCTGATGACATTGTTTCTTGATACATAAACCTTAGCATAACAGAGGATGAAGGTTCTATGGTGGATTTAGGAGCAATCGAATCTGCTCTGCCGAATGAAAAATTTAACCTAATGCTTATTGGGAGAATTGTTACCGATCGTCCGTATAATGTAGAGGCGTTCAAAAGCACGATGATAAAGGTATGGGTGCTATCTGATAAAGTTTTGATTCGAGTTCTTAGCCCTAATCTTTATGCTTTCCAATTTTTCAATTGGAGGGATAAGGAAAAGGTTTTAAATGGTAGACCGTGGTGTTTCGATATTATGCTATTGATTTTGAAAGAGATTGAAGGAGATGAGCAACCTGAAAAGGGGTTATGCTGTTTCATTCACCATTTTGGATTTGAATTAAACACTTGCCATTCAATTGCCGGTCGGACAATGATGTCAAGGAGACCGTGGCAAATATGGGTGATCTGATTGAAATTGAAGAGGACCCTTTTGGGCTTGACCACTCCCGAAAAGTTAATGTCATGATTAAAGTGACTAAATCTCTTTGCCGTTGTCAAAAGATTCGAGATTAGGGGGGGTAATGAAATTATGGTTGAATTCGCTTATGAACGGTTACCATTTTTCTACTATTCTTGTGGGGCGATTGGACATTGGGAGAGGGATTGTGTGATGGTTTTTGAGGACAGCGAGAAGAAGAAATTAGGCTGGGGGAGGTGGCTAAAAGCTTCTCCTAGGCGTGGGAGGATGAAGGAGTTGGAAGAAGTTGATGAAATCCTTATGTCCCGCAATCAGCTCTTTTTTCCTAAGAATGTAGATGAGGTGGAAAGGGAAAGTAGTAGGAAGGAGGGAGCAAATGTGATTTTGCTACAGGGGAGTGATGTGGGAACAGAGAAAGAATTGGGGGAAGGGGATTATGATACTACGGTGGGTGAGTTAGAAGATTCTGGGGGTATGGTGGGGCTAGAGAAGAAAAATGACGTTGGAGTTGAGAAGAAGCAGGTGGAAAGTGAGGGGAGAGATGAATTTAATATTCTTCAATGTACTCAAGTGGGAAGTATTGGGGGAAGTAAGGGTGAAGTGGAGGGTGAGGTGGACAACCTTAATTCTCCTTTTGTTTTTATGGCAGGATATGGTAATATCTCCACTAAGGGTTGAAATAAGAAGTATAGGAAGATTGTGAGGGAAAGGGATCAGTTTGATAGCCACATGGAAGTTGAGGGGGATAAGGCTTTAGGTAAGAGGGTGAGAATGTGTGATAATGCTATGACCACATGGAAGATTGTATTGGTGACTTCAATGAAATCCTTCATCTTTCAGAGAAGAGTGGTGGGGGATGATTGTGCGAAGTGGCAAATGAACAATTTTAGAAATGCAATTAATTCATGTGCTTTGCAAAATGTCCCTTTTACAGGTTATGAATTCACTTATGATGATGGGAGGGAGGGGATTCATAATACTCGGTGCCGGCTTGATCGAGCTCTTGCTACGGATGCTTGGTTGATGAAGTTCCCAGATTCTTTGTTGATTCATCTTGATTGCGAATGGTCAGACCATGCTCCCATTAAGCTTGTTTTAGAGTTGCAAAATACTATGAAATTGGGTGAGAAACCATTTAAGTTCGAGCATATTTTGCAGACCGATTATGGTTGTGAAGGCGTGGTTCAGAATGCGTGGGAGGGGGGTTGGTCTCTTGAATCACAACTTGCACTTTGTACTGCTGATCGTAAGACCTGGAGCGAAAGTAAGTTTGGAGCTACTTTTTGTGAGCTCAGGAAGAAAAGAAGAAAACTCCAAAAGCTTAATAAAAGGGGGATTGTCAGCTCTGCAGCTTGAAAAACGTCGTGCATTAATCAGAGATATTGTGGGTTTGGTGCATAATGAGGAATTATTTTGGAAGCAACGTTCTTGGGTTTTCTTGGCTAAAGGAGGGGGTTAAAAATACTAAACTTTTTCATAAGAGAGCCTCTAGTCGAAGCGTCGAAATATGATCTTGAGTCTAAAAGATAAAGAGGGGGTAGTTCACTCTGGTAATGAGAAGATTGGAGATGTTGCCGTTTCCTATTTTAGACAGCTTTTCACATCCTCTAATCCTACTCTGATCGATCAGGCTCTCAACTTTTCTAAGCTCGTGTTACCTCTGATATGAATTTAGCTTTGCAGGCGGTGTATACAGTGGAGGAGGTGAAGTTTGCCTTGAGCCAGATGCATCCTGCTAAGGTGTCGGGACCGTATGGTATGTGCCCTTTATTTTTTCAGTTATATGTTGGCCCTTTAATGTCTAATTGTGTGTTGTCTATTCTGCGTGGTGCCCCGATTCCTCAGTTTATTAATCGTACTTATATCGCCCTTATTCCGAAAAAAAAGGATGTTGATCAAATGGTGGATTTTAGGCCAATTTCCTTGTGTAATGTGATATACAAGCTAGTTTTGAAAGTGCTAGCTAATCGGCTTAAATATTTTCTCGACGAGATTATTTCTATTAATCAGAGTGCGTTTACTCCTGGTCAATTGATTTCTAATAACATCTTTGTTGCTTTTGTGCTTTTCCATTATATGAAGAATTTGCCGAATAAGGGAGGGTGTATTGCGATGAAGTTGGATATGTCTAAGGCATTTGACAAAATAGAGTGGGATTTTCTTGAGGCTGTCTTGAGACGTTTTGGTTTTGATCAGAATTGGTGTGATCGTGTTATGGACTGTGTTCGATCGGTTTCTTTTTCTGTGCTTGTCAATGGTCGACCGACGGATGATTTTTCCCCGGGTCGGGGGATTAGGCAAGGGGATCCGATTTCTCCGTATTTGTTTATTTTGTGTGTTGAGGTTTTTACTTATCTGTTGAGGGATGCACAGGAAAGGGGTAGCTTACATGGTGTCCGCATTGCTCCGACGGCTCCGTCTATTTCTCATTTGTTGTTTGCGTATGATTGTATAATTTTTTTCTAAAGCAACGGTGGGTGATACTGAGAGAATCCAAGAGATTTTGAGGACTTATGAGTTGGCGTTGGGTTAAAAAATTAATTTTGACAAGACTACTATTTATTTTAGTAATGGGGTTCCGGTCTCTAAATGTATTGAGTTAGCTAGTATGCTCGGAGTTTGTATTGTGGATATTCATGACCGTTATCTTGGGCTTCCTACGGTGGTGGGAAGGTCTAAGAAAGTGATTACAAGATGTGTTAAGGAGAAACTTTGGAAGAAGCTACAAGGGTGGAAAGGGATGGTAATTTCTAAGGCGGGTAAGATGGTTATGATAAAGGCGGTGGCCCAATCTCTCCCTACCTACGCGATGAGTGTTTTTAAGTTTCCATCGTCTTTTTGTGATGAGTTGAGATCTCTTGTGGCAAAAGCAAGGGGATAGGAAGATTCATTGGCTTGCGTGGAAAAAGCTTTGTCGTCCTAAGAATGAGGGAGGTTTGGGTTTTCGTGACTTTAAGTTGTTCAATTGGGGATTGTTGGGTAAGCAGGCTTGGATGTTAATGTTGCAACCGGGTACCTTAGTGGAGCAAATTTTGAAGTGCCGTTATTATCCTAACTCTACTTTTATGGAAGCAGACATTGGAGTCAATCCTAGCTATACTTGGAGGGGAATTGCGGAAGCTAGATGCGTGGTTCGTAGAGGTATGAAATGGAGAGTGGGGAATGGTGAGTCTATTCGTGTTTGGACTGATCCATGGGTGCCTAATACCCAGTCGCACATGGTCATTTCTCCTCGTGGTGAAGCTCTTGTAGATATGAAGGTGTGTGATTTTATACAGTCAAGTCCTTCTACCGTTTGCTGGAATGTAGAAAAGCTTCGCCAAGTCTACCTACCTTTCGAATGTGACAAAATTCTTAGAATTCCTCTTAGCATTAGACTCCTCGAGGATAGTTTGTGCTGGGATCTAGAAAAGAATGGCGTGTATTCAGTGAGATCAGCATATCGAAATTTATTTGATGATAAATGAAAGAGTGAGGAGGCTGCCCTATCTAATGCATACTAAATCTTGAAGAAAATCTAGAAACTTCAAGTCCTGCCCTGCATCAAAAGTTTTGCCTGGAGAGCTCTGCAAAACGCTTTTCTAACTCGACACAACATACATTATCGTGTTAAGGAGCAGGATTCGGATTGCAGCATCTGTCTAAGGGATTATGAGACCACTGTTCACGCTCTCAGGGACTGTAAGTTCGCAAAAAATGTCTGGGCTAGGAGCAACTTTGCAATTGTTGCTGAGTCTCGAACCCATTGTATTATCGATTGGTGGGAAGGGTGTCTTGCTAAGTTTGATGAGGTAGAAGCAGCTGCTATTCTTACCCTTTGTTGGGCGATTTAGAGCGCTAAAAATGTATACATTATGGAAGGTGAAACCCCAAACCAGGAGAATATTGTCAATTTTGCGATGAAGACTTGTGGGGAGGTGTGTGATGAACTGAATGGCTCTCAGAGTAGGCAGAAGACTGGTATGCCATTGCCCGAAAAGTGGAGCCTCCTTGCTCTAGGTACGTTCAAAGTGAATGTTAATGCTGGTTTTTTAAGTGGCTTGGGGGTTGGTTTGGGTGCAATGCTCAGGGATGAACATGGTACCATTTGTTCGTGCTTGGTGGCTCAGTTTGCTGACAATTGGGATCCAAACATTGCGGAAGCTATGGCTGTGTTTAAGGGAATGAGTCTAGCGAGGGACTATGGGGTGCAACAGCTAGTTGTGGAGAGTGATTGTTTGACTGTCATTCAAGCCTTGCGTGACATAGCAAGTGGTTCAAGGTCTCTTCATTTGATTGTTGGTTACATTTTAGATTATTGTAAGCACTTTGTTTCTGTCAATTGGTCTTTTATGAAACGAGGAGGGAATAAAATTGCTCATTTTTTTGCTCAATTTTAACCTTGGGAGGTTGGCCAAAGAATGTGGCACGATGTGATCCCGCCTCAGGTGATGGAACTTACTACTGTTGATTTAATCAATTGAGCTTTCCCCTCGGGTCATTAAAGTAAAATTATTAAAAGCTCGTATCATTAGAGTGAAATTATTTCAACTTCGCTGCACCAAAGAGGTAATTCTCCTTATTCTTCTATCGATTAGAATCAATGTTTAATTTACATAAAACCGAGTCATCTATAATTATCGAGTATAATTGATATTTTATATTTACCTTGACTCATCTCATAAAAATACTGCATAGTAATATAATTCACGTCGAGTCAATTTCAACAAATCTAACCGGCTCGCCAATAAATGCGTTCCCCGTAACCTCGGAAGCAACCCCCCGAGGCGTCACCGTCCACTTTAACCCCCCTTATAAAAAATCCCATTGTCCTCCGCAAACCTTGCATCTCACACACTACCTTATATAGACAAACAAACAGTTTCACACCATACACACTAAAACACTCTACATCAAAACCCAAAATTTTTTTTTTCACAAAAAAAAAACACATTTTTAATTTAAAAATTCAAAAACCTCCAAACTCCCATAAAAGGATTAAAAGCTAACAATTTTGTTTTTTTTTTCCTAGTAGTTTTCTCCAAATATTCCACCAAAATTTAAAAAAAAAAAAAAAAAATGAGAGCAAGCAACCATCTAATAGGAGTAGTAAATTTTCTAACATTTCTACTCTCAATCCCAATTTTAGCAGGAGGAATATGGCTAAGTAGCAAAGCAAACTCAACAGATTGTATGAAATTTCTTCAATGGCCATTAATAGTAATTGGAGTTTCATTAATGGTGGTTTCATTAGCTGGTTTTGCTGGGTCATGTTACAGGAACACTTTCCTCATGTATCTTTACATGTGGGCAATGTTCTTCATCATAGCCGCCTTAATCGGGTTCGTAGTTTTTGCTTACGCTGTTACGGATAAAGGGTCGGGTCGACCCGTTTTAAACCGGGCTTATTTGGAGTATAATTTGGAGGATTATTCGGGTTGGCTTGAAAGGAAGGTTTCGGATCCGGGTTATTGGGCTAAACTTAGCTCTTGTATCAGGGATTCAAGGGTTTGTAGTAAAATGGGTCGGACTTTTCATGGTGTTCCTGAAACTTCTGATATGTTCTTCTCCAGAAAACTTAGTCCTATTGAGGTAATTTCTTCATTTTATTTAATTTTTTTAATTAAAGGGTAATAGTTTCCTTAATTAAAAGGGTAATTAGTATTTTATTTAGTTGTAAATTACCCTTTTTATTTTTGCTGAGCTTTACTTATTTTATCTGATTATTTGATTGGATTCATTGGTCTTTTTTATTTATTAGAAATATATTTATATTTTGCAATTACTTTTTGTTTGGATTAAAAAATTACAAGTTGTGTCACTATTTGCTGTCTTTTTGGTTGATTGGATTTTTATTTATTAAAAATGATGAATGCAATAGTTTGTGTTCTGAGGTGTATACAAATATTGGAAAAATTTATGGCGGTTGAAGTTTAACTTTAGCAATTACTGACACAGTATGCTACATTTAAAACATACTTTAACCCTCAATTATTTTAAAATTTGCAAACCTCAATTATTTTAAAATTTCCAATCTAAAAGGTTTGGGCAAAAGAAAAGGGAAACTGTTTTTCTTCCCTTTCTGTTTTATTGGGTCATCCAAATTATTATGACACTTTTTTTTTTTTTTTAAATAATGATTCATATGAAATTTCGTTCAAATTAATTTACGTGGTTGTTTTGGGTCAGTTGCATACTCGCATTTGAGTCGTTGTAACCTTGCTTTTAGTCTTTTTGATTCTAGGATCGGGTTTAATAAGATTTGAGACTCATTAATCCGAATTAGATGGTACGTGTATTAACCATTTATGTATAGTTAAAGTTTGAGTCGGGTAATTCAGATCCGATCTTTTTGGTACAAAATAATTGTTGTAGTACAAGTAAAATTCAAAAAAGAAATTAATGTTGCGTGAAGGTAGGGGTGAAAGTTCGGTATTCGGTTTGGATTACACCCCAAACCGAATCCAAACCGAATTATTTCGGTTTCGGATTTTTGAAACCGAATCCAAACCGAATTTGGATTCAATCCAATCCAATCCAAACCGAAATAATTCGGTTTTGAGAATTAAATCCAATCCAAACCGAAATAATTCGGTTTTGAGAATTAAATCCAATCCAAACCGAATTTTTATGGGCTGCTGTATTAGGCCTTAAAATCTGGGCTTTTTATTGGGCATATAATTTTGGGCCTTTTAAGGCCTAAATTTTGTACCTGTTCCTGAACAAAATTAAAGCATAAATTTTAACATACAACTTTCACAAGTCACAACCATATGCCATACTGCCATAGTAACTAAATTGTCCAGCCATACTGCCATAGACCATAGTAATTAAATACACTTACACATTGTCCACATTGAGACATAAGAACTTAACAAGTCTTAAAACTATCAAAACAGTCCACATGATGAATTGATAATAAAACAGACAAACAGTCCACAAATGAACTAGTTCAACCAACAGGGCAGCTTCATTCTTAGGCTCTTGGCAGAAACTTCAAGTCTTCAATCAATAGGGCAGCTTCATTCTTGGCAGCTAACTCTCAATCAAGCTCAACCAAGTCCGGGTTTTGACCACCAATTGTCATATTCCTCAAGTCTAATAACATTAAAAAAAAATAAACAAGTTACATAATATATATGAAATAATGAAAAAAAATAACATGATAATTGTTGTTTTATGTTACCTTCTTCAAGATCTTCAACTTCTTGTAAACACTCTTCTATATTAGGAAAGGGAGAAGAACGTAGCCAATTTTGAGCACAAACAAGTCCTTCAACGACCCTTGGAGTTAAGGAGCTCCTAAATGGGTCTAGAACCCTACCACCAGTGCTGAATGCACTCTCAGAGGCTACTGTTGAGATAGAGACAGCAAGTATATCACGGGCCATTCTTCCAATTGTTGGAAACCTAGCACTATTAAACTTCCACCACCCCAAAATATCAAAATTTTCACATTCCTCCTCCGTTTCCTCTTCTAAATATTTGTCTAACTCAATTTTTGCTTCTCCATCTTTCTCACACTTATGTTTCTTATACTTACTTTTCAATACCTGAAGCTTCTTTTGTTTGGGAGAAAATTGGGAACTGTCCATACTTGAGGACACTTCCTCCCTAATCACATCACCAGAAGAACCACGATACTCCTCATACAATGCATTCAAAGACTCTTTCAAATTATTCACCAAAACAAATGCATGCTTAGAATCATAAATTTCAATTAACATCCACTCAACATAATCTAACTTATAACGAGGATCAAGCACAACAGCAATAAAAATCAGCATGTTTATTTTCTCCGGATCACCCCAATATTTGTCATATTTCTCCTTCATTTTAGTAGCCATAAGACACATCTCCACATCATCATTTGTCATCAAATCTTTCAAAAGGACAGCAACACTCACCAATTCATGGAAAAATAAATTGGAAGTCACATGCAAAGACCCAGAGACACGCAACGTAAGATCATAAAAGACTTGTAAAAATTCAGAAAACCTTCTGACTGTTTCCCAATCCTCAGAAGTAGGGCAGCCCTTCCCCTCCCTCTCATTTAACTCAATCACATAATGAGGGTCCTCCTCAGAGTACCTCTCAAAAGCATACTCAAACACCAAAGCAGCATCCAACATTAAAAAGGTGGAATTCCACCTAGTAGGCACATCAAGGCACAACAACTTTTTAGAGTTGATTTTTTCTTCCACAACACATTTTTTAAACCTTACCAACCTAGAAGGGGATTGTTTGATGAATCTTACAGCTTGTCTCACACGAGTAATAGACTCATTAACAATTTTCAAGCCATCAGACACAACCAAATTCACAATATGAGCAACACAACGCATATGAAGGAACCGACCCTTAAGAACCCCAGCTTTCCAACCATTTATTTTCCTTCTCATATATCCTATTGCGGTATCATTTGAGCTAGCATTATCAACAGTTATGCAAAATACTTTCTCAAGTTCCCAATCAAGCAAACATTTCTCAATTTCTTTCCCAATTTCCTCCCCCTTATGACTTGATATAGGACAAAAATTCAGAATACGTTTTTGCAAATTCCAGTCATTATCAACAAAGTGAACAGTCAAGCACATGTAATTAATTTGCTGAATAGATGTCCATGTATCGGTTGTTAATGAAACCCTTGAGTTACAATTTTTTAATACCAATTTCAGCTTTCTTTTTTGAGTTAAAAAAGTTTCATAACAATCTTTAGCCACAGTAATTCTGGAAGGGACATGAAATCTAGGCTCCATTACATTACAAAATTTTTTAAAGCCTACTCCCTCAACAAACTTAAAAGGCAATTCATCAACTATAACCATCTCAGATAAAGCTTTTCTAATTACAG